CCCCAAAACCCCAAAACCCCAAAACCCCAAAACCCCAAAACCCCAGAAATAAGAAATAAGGTTGAAATGAATATCGATTATTAAGAATAAAGTATGGAACATTTTGAAGAAAATTTGTCGGATCAGTTATTAAGAGAAGATGTTGAGGTATCTAATATAAGAGTATCGATGGGTATTGTTAAGAATATGTCAAGTATTCCCTTTGGAGCAAGGTACAGGCAGAATCAGCTCAAGAAGGTAGCATCCTTCCCAGTTAATAAAAACCAGGTGAATGATTGGGAATTTCAGAAGAATTGAATACCTAAGAAAAATACAGCTAAGAGAATTTACTCAAGTAGTCTTCCAAAAACTTCTGATATACAGAGTGATATCAGAGCCTTACTACAGAAGGCAATAAAAATTAGACATTTGTACAATGTTGATTCTGCCCGCTCGGAGGACTGCCAAGAAGAAAATGTTTCAAAAGAAAATTCTCAGGTAAGTCAAGAAGCAGCAAAAAAAGCAGGTAATAATCTTCTTGACAAACAGAGTTTTATCTGCAGAGATGTAACAATGAGAGATGTGAAAAGAGCTCATTAGTTTCATAGATTAACTTTTTTATAAATATTTTGTAATTCTTAATAGTTGTTGAATTGACAAGGGTTATAGTGGCTAAACTCTTGCATATTTTAAATTGCATTTCCAAGATATCTGATGGTGTAATCCCTCTAGAAGAAAGAATTCTTCTGAAAATCCATCAACCCACATTTGCAACTACAACTAGCCAAATTTCATATATTTACACAGTGAAATTTTTATATTAAGGTCTGATGTCGCCAAAACTATTTCTATTTACAACTCTTCAAAATTTCGATGAATCAATAGATCAAACAACTAATTTCATCATAGAAACAATAATAGGTCATTATCAATCGATCATTCTCCAAATTCTCTGAAAATACCAAAAATCTCCTCATTTGTCATAAGACATGAGCAAATTATATATAAACTCTCTCCATAAGTCCTCATATTCCCGGGGTTTTGGGGTTTTGGGGTTTTGGGGG